CCTCCCTCCCTCCCTCCCTCCAACACAAGCACATGCTTACACCATCCCTTAATCCCTAACTGTGAGCTCAACACAGCTCGTCGGTTGTCTTCACTGCTATGAGCGGCCTGACCCTGGTATGGAGCCAGCACCGTGATCTGCTTCGGTTTGTAGCCCTGGGAAATGAAGAAGCGAGCCAGTTGCACAGCCCTGTCACACCTGCCGGGGCTTTGATTTCATGCCATGCGACAAAGACGGCATGACTTTATACTTCGCAGATCAAGCATCTCAATGTTTCAGCAAACGCAAAGGCTTTCGGCTTCCATGCCGTTGACTGTCACAGTGCAGGCGGGCGTCTCGCGTTTGTTGACGTGACTGCGCTCACCCTCTTCTTCTGGATGTGGGCAATGCCAGAAAAAGACTTCTGAAGCCACGCAGGCTGGAGCAACAAGCTTGCTAGTGACCATCGTATTGTCCTTCAGATGCGGGTAAATCGACTTCAAGAGCTTGGAGAGTCCAGGGAGCATGCGCCCTTGCGCTTGAAGCTCAACGTTGGGCAGCCCGTTTTCAAGAAGGCGCTCCATCATGCTCACGTCGAATAGGTTGTTCCTTGGCAGAATGTGTTCGAAGGAGCAGCCACTTGCATGTTGCCCGAAAACAAGAAGCACGAAACCGCACGAGCCTTCGAAGTGGACACGACGCCAGCATTGCCGAGGATCAGCCTCAGAGCGTATGTCTCCACGGGTGGCGGTAGCTGTCCTCGTCTGTGAAGGCAGCTTAGCTTGAGTTGGGAGAGACTCGGAAAGACTGACGCAGGGACTCTCACCTACCATCCGAAAGTGGGGCAATGCGACCTTTCGCAAAGCTGAGTCTCTGTGGTCTCCGATCATGATCAAATGCTTGACCCACGGACCAAGCACCGCGAGAATTTGAGGCTCCAAGACCTTGCAAGGAGTTCAGAAGCACTTCTCAGACCGCAAATGATCACATGACCACATCAGCCACGGTAAGAGGTGGGTGAAGTTTCTGAGGACTTGGCTTCTGCAGCCTCCTCCACGAGGACCACATCCGGTTTGAGCTGTGAAATGAGGGCGGAGTTGATGGAGGCACCGGTGATCGTCATACCCACGATTCCTTGATATGTTTCGGCATAATGAGCTTCACAGTCAAGCTAAGCTGCCAGCTAGCCAGACAGCTAAGAATTCTTTGGTTGATGGCCCCTAGGCCATGTTGCAGGCAAGACTCTCTTGTTCTTCAAAACCCGGGCACCTCAGCGGCACAATCAGCACATGTGGAAGAATGCGAAACCATCCAGGGCGTACAAACACGACACGCACAAAGGTGAATTACCCAGTCACCTGAGTTGGTATAGTCCAATGGCCTATGGCGCCATCTGCACAAGTAAGGCTCTCGCTCATGGCAACATCAGTTGACTCCTCTTCCTCGCATGCTTGCGTTAGGGTCGTCAAGGCGACTTCGAGATCTTGACGGCGGGTGGCTGCTTGCTGAGCGATGTGCTGCGCCACCAAGCGTGCTCGATTCAATTTCGAAAGCTGGAAAAGGTTTGGTGCATCCCAGATCGCACGTTCTCTGGGGTCAGTTCTCATCTGCGCAGCTCCTTCCTTAGGGAGATGCTCCATGCGGATGTGGCGCTGCCATTGCTGGAAGGACGGCTGTCGGGACACCATGGCCCGCCACTCGTCCTTGCTGAGACCTTCCCCCCCATCGCTTGGCCCATTGCTGCGCTCTGCTTCGATCTCTGCCTGAAGTTCTCGCTCAGCCTCATCGTCGGCCTCAAAGCAAAGGTTCACTGGCAGATGCTCTGGTGTTTGCACCGGCAGCATGTGTCCAGTCGCTGGATCCATCATTTCGCGCAAAACCCAGCCCTTTTCCAGTCTAGTATCCATCCGCAAGGCGATAGGATGCTGCAACTCAAAGTTGCTGCTCAAGGCGCGGGCAACTGTTTGCCACTCCTCGGCGGTTTGCACCTGAACAGTCTCATAACCATGTGCGCCCATCACCTGGTCTGAGTCCTCGGGCAGCATCAACCCGGCTTCGCTGAAGAGCATGCTTGCAGCTTCTGTGACCATGTCTTGATCAGGATACCATTCCTTGTCTGAGGAGCATTTCAGCATCTATAGCAGTAGTCCCAAAAGACCGAGCTCACCAGAAGGCCTACAGTAGGCCCATGCTCTATGGCCTGTAGCTCGGTTCCTTAAAAGACGATAGAAGCACATGCCACGCAAATCAAGGAGCTGCCAGCACTTCCTCGAGTGCAGACCGCATCCAGTGACAGTCCTGCTGCAGACGGGAAGTCTCCACAGGGTCTTCTTGCCAGTCAAGAGCATCCAGCTGAACTTCAGAGCGCAGCATTCGCAGAAGGTCCTCACAATGAACAGGGTGCTGTGAATCCAACGTGCCAGGGTGCAAGCTGACAGTTGGTGACTTCTGCTAGCTGCTGGACTGACTGAAAGCTGAGAGTCATCTGGCCAATTGCGCAAGTAGTTTCGATATCTTTCCAAGGTCCACCGAAGCCACTCGACATTCCTGCCCCTGCTTGGGGAATGTCGACAAAATTGAACGAGCTGATGACCGCGGATGCTGCTGAGGAAAGTATCAACCTCGGGTATCGACCATACAGTCTTCCTTTCCTGGGATCACCGCGAACTTCCTCGGCCCAAACTCCGACCATCACCATCCAAGACACGGAATGAACTCCTCGGTTCCGAAACTTCTCCATGGCCTGCAGCTCAGGCTTGATCAGGTCTGGAACTCCTGCAGCCGTTTTGAGCCGAGCGTCGTTCAGCAACTCGCTCTGCTTGCCCTTCACATCAACCTGGTGGGCAGGAAATGTCTGTTGAACGCTGGCCCCAGGAGAGGTCATCCTTACAGATGCAGCTCGACATGAGCGAGCAACAGTTTGGAAATTCTTGCGCATCGCGGGTGCTGATTCAAATCACTGCGAAACTGGCCGGCCTTTGATTGAATCATGTGCGTCCGCAGTTCCTTCATGGCAGGGTCCTGCTGCGCCTGGAGCAGTGTTAATTGCCGGCCACTTGTGAGACTCACACTCATGGGGAGGAGCTGCTACTGAGCTACTGCTACTACCCCGCAGAAGCAGTCCTGGTCAGCAGTCTTTGCGAGCTTCTTCCTGAGGCTTCTCAAATTGCATGCCTGCAACTCCGCAGAGTCCGCGCTGTTCCGGCCAACCCTGGCCATCGTTTTGGTGTACTGCCCCTCCACACAATGTTGCAAGAAGTCGTCCAGTGCATGATTCTTGTACGTCAGCACGAGGACTCGAGACTTCCTCACCAGCATCTGTAACAGCTTGTAACCAATGAACGTCTTTCCTGTACCTGTAGGGCGTCTTGCCAAACATGCTAGTTTTGTCACGTGTCGAAGCAGACCCTTCCACTTCTACTGTGGGCCGTATGATATATCTGCCTCCGGCTGCCAACTGAGAGCCCTCTAAGTGCCTGGTGGGCCTTGGATGAGGGATACGCGGCAGTGCAGGGCGTGGTGCGCCGCCTGCAGCTGGCCTCTGTGGCAATACTACGCAACAGCATGGACCCAACACCCCAGAGAAGTACTAAATACTCCACACCATAGATCCCTTCCAGCTGCAACAGAGACATTGCTGAAAGGCCATGCGGCTTTTGTCCCAAGTAGTCGCAGAAGTATTCATCGAGGACGGCTCGCATGCTCGCCCAATGGCAGTTTCCAGCTCCATGCAAAGTTGGTGAACGGTTCCGCCTTCCATCACAAACCACATCACAGCAGTTCCTTGCAACGTTACTCGAACAGCACCTTGGCACTGGCTTCCCCTGCCCGTACCACGCTTACAGCATTCTGTTGGCAGTGTGCTCTTGAAACTCACAGCGGCTCCGATCGGCCACAGACTGCGACATGTTTTGCAACCGCTCTTCTCGCTTCCCCATAACTTCACACTACCACTACCACCAGGAGAAACTGAGTGGCACACGGCGTGGAAGGATTCGATATCGAAGCTCCTTTGATGGCTCGGTCTGGATGACCTGCTGGCAGGGTTCCTTCCGACTCAAGCAGACACGACATGAGTCGTTCGTGGACACTGGCAGGCAAAACATGAGCATTCGCAGACATGTCGTGGAGATCATACTGCGAAATTCCGGATCGGATCGCTTCGGTATTTGGGTGTGGGCCGATTGCGGACGGCGGTCACTAGACGTGTCATTGAATGAGCGCTGATACTCTCCAAGAGTTGAGCCAGGCCTACAACTTCGGCTCCAACTTTCTGGCAAAAACATACAGGCTTCCAGCTAAGAGCTCATCCGGCTATCGTTCCCGAAGAGCCCCAGGCATCTCTTTCAGGATCCGCGAGCAGCAGTCCAGGTCGAGAGAGCCGGTGGGCCCAAAAAAGGTTGCGAGTTGAACAAGCTTCTGCAACGTGCTCGGGCTTCAGGATGAGAAGCAGGGGTCCGGGTACAAGTGCTTTAATCAAAGCAAACGAAAAAATCGGAACAGGCAGAATCCAGGATAGGCGGGCTCGACTTCTTGTCAGAACTGCAAACTGACTTCGGCCCCGTAAGCCGCAGACCACGTCGCAGCAAACTGGCACGTGTGCTTCAGCCCCGCTTTGGATCACATTGGCAACCGCGGAAGCTTCATCCCCGGTTTCATCTCCTGGCAGTGATCCCAGCAAGTGCAGCCAAGTTAGAGGACTCTGGCTCTGACTGAGGTTCTTTCGTCCGGTCTAGCCAAGCCACCGCTTCCGGTGGCCAAGTCGCAAGATGCTGCCTTTCCAGTCTGCTCGCCGGAAACAATCAGAATCTGGTGGCCAGCGCAGTTGCGAATGCGAAACTTCTTGAACAAATCGTTCCAGCTGATGTCGAAGAGAGACCGGCCAGAAGGGCAACAAACTGTGGTCTGTTTGCCCAGCGTCCATGCACGCATCTCGGTCGGAGCACTGATGCCCACAAGCTGGTAGGAGACATCCGAGTGCAGCTCCGGGCCCGAAAACACCAGGATCCTGTCAACGGCGTCTGCAGCACATAAGCTCAATGGCCGTTTTGCTGCAGTCTTGCAGTGCACCAACTCTTCCTGGAAAGGCAAGCCGACCTCCTCTGTGGCCTGCAGTCGGCGGAGGATCGGCTCAAACGACCGGAAGTAAGTTGGAGACGCTACCAAGGTCAGCTTTGCTGCGCTCCATACGTATGCCACCTGGCTGGCTTCCATGGACGCTTGTGACCAGCTTCTGGCATCCACATAAAAGTCGAGTGCCACTATACCACTCGATCTGTTCAGATCGCGGCGAGCGGCCAGCATCCAAATTGGATGATCGAAATCTTCGTTGCAAACACATGCAACCAGATTGCCGCTCATGAAGCACTTGGCAGCTCGAAGCTCCCATCGTGCTCGTGTAAGCATGGGATCAATTTTGAGGACTACCTTGATTCGGCTGTCGACCACACCTTCGGGCAAAGCCAGGGGGGTTTTGGACAGCACGACATGTCTGAGCCTTCTTGGGGATCCTACAGGCAGTCAAATCGCTGCTTGCTTCAGAATACTACGGGGTTAAGGGCTCACTAATTACCGAAGTCAAACAAAAAGACATATTGGCAAAGAGACCCCGAGCGCTGGAAGCTACAAACAGTGAACACTTCGCAGACTGAAGCAATGCTGCAGCATGGGATGGCGTCGGTACTGTACCAGTATCCAAGAGGACCGGCCACGGAAAATCTCGGTTCAGTCGTGATTTACGCTCGTCATACGAACTCTCTTGCGTGTGCCTTGCTGGCGTTTGAATGTGTCACTTTGGCCAAGCATGCCTTCCTGGCAGTGCCCCACGGTAAAGCCCTTGAGGGTAGCCCGGAAAGCATTGTTGTCCTTCTTAACCGCGTCCGCCTCCTTCCCGTGGTCACGCACATCTGCAAGCGAGTTGCGGATGGCCGCCGTGCAATCCTGCGATCAGATGTGCTGTAAACGAATACTTGCCACATACTGATGCCACACCCTCACACTCGGATGAATCCGGGCGACGTACTGGTAACTAGGTCGGTAGGTGCAAAGTCACAGAACGCATCGTAAGAGACAACAGCTCAGAAGCAGGCGCGATAGCTGTACTTCTCAGATTTTGGCAGAAATAAGTGAACACGTGTGACAACCATCACCATCGTCATCGCAAGCAAAGCGACGCTTCGATTATAGGCTTGCGCCCCCCACCTCGCGAAGAAGGCGGAAGTATGTGTCCAAGTAAGCACCGAGCGACTTGTAGCCTCCGACTTGCCTCACGACAGGCAGCGTTCGCGATGTTGTGTCCCTCCTGCGGCCGTCAGGCAGAATGTTCGTTTTCTGCGTCCGCAATTCCTTCGAAGAGGGGAACCAGAGGCATGCAGTCCCAGGATGCATCAGTCACATCAGCCTGTCCCGAAGCAAGCGCATTGGAAGCCGAGGATACAAGAGTCAAGAGCTGCTCTGTACCCAAGACATTTGTAGAATCGAGTGCTCCTGCTGATGTTCGGCACAAGTATCTGCATGCGGGTACTGCTTTTTGAAAGCTGTAAGGCTGCACCTTCATCAAATGCTGCAAGAACGGCCAGATGGTTTGCGATGCTTGCAGTGGTCGTTCTGGCGAACGCATCGCAGATATCAGGGCGCAACGCTCACCAAGCAGGCGCGAAGCTGCGAGAATCTGAAAAATTCTCGGGGCTTGGGGAGACTGCCAGAGGTGGTTGGCCAATTCCAGCAAGAGCTCGACGATTTGTCCCAGCGTCCATTCGCCATCCTGGGCAAAGGTTCCGCGGACTTCAACGCTCGTCCCATCATTCTGGCTGCTATTTGCCAGGACGAACTTGGATGTCCAGGGGCACAGGGGAATCACACGCACCTTCTCCACACGGCGAAATTGAAATCCTTGCAAGGTGTTGAAGAGTTCCCGATCCACGACATGCAGCTTGGATCCAAATTTGACAACATCGACGACGGAGCCCGAGAAGCAATCACGGACATCGGCATTGTCTTGCTTCAAGCCCGCAGCACTCGGCGCAGCGTGGCTGATGCGCCGGCGCTTAGCAGGCTGCGGAGCCGCTCCGACACAGGTCAGGTCGCCGACTGGCACTTGGCTCTGGATCTCTGCGAACCCCAGGAGCCCCCAGTCCCTAACCCCTTCCCGTTCAATGATGATGTCCTGCAACGTCGCACGTGCCTCGGCTGCCTCTGGATGTACAGCTGATTGACTTGTCGATGGAGACCGTTCTTGACAGAGGTCCTGGATGAACTTGGCTGTGCCCCTGCAGAGTGGATGCACATTCACGGAAACGCATACGTTGCAGCCTTTCTCATCCTGTTCTCGCTGGAACTCCTTCAACACCCACAATCGCCGATTGTTCAGTGATCGTATCTTGCCACGGAGTTGACACACATCAAGCTGCAGTCTGGAGTCGACTGCCGGGTTCACTCTACCCCGCCTCAGATCACCCAAAAGCTTTGCCAAGCTCGATCCATTTTTGAACTGTTGGCTAACCCTGGCATGAGTAAAGGAGACCGTCTTCACGGGCCGTTGCTCAATGCACGGAGGCGGTCTTGCGCGCAAGTCAATGTGTTCGTGCATGACTTGCTCCGCATAGACACGTTCGGCGCAAAATGCTCGCTTGTGCTTCGGCAGCTCGGTGGAGGTTTCCATATCACGAGGCTCTTTCGCGATCTGTCTCTCCGGGGTGCCAGCACCAGAGGGGGGATCAATCCCGTTCCCAGGGACATCTGCTAGAGCTGACCACTGCGGATCCATGGCGCTTCCCACGAGGTCCTGAGATGTATGATTTGGTCGTATGGCTTCCGCTTGTTAGCCATGGCATGTATGGCAACAGCCACTGTGCGACAGAACCGCGAGCAATACCCGAAGCAAGACTACAGATCGCTGTTGTTCAGTATTTTCATCACTGCTAGTAAAGCAGAGTTGCAGAAATTAGTGACGCCAATAGCCTTCCTATCGAAATCCGAACCCTAAAGAAACTCGATGCACCACGCTGAGAGCAGAATCTAAGGCTCCGAGACCGCGCGCCAGGCGGCCAGACAGGATTCGGCCTGGCCAAGGTGTGCCGTGGCGAGGAGCAATGTGGGTGGTTGTCAAAATTAGTCCCTTTTTGGGTCCTTATTATAATACGGCACCTATTATTTAAGGTACCCCAAAAGGGACCATAATTTTGACAACTACCCATGTGAAGCAGCAGTTTGTGCAAAGAAGATACAGAATGGGTCAATCTGTGTCAAACAAACAGTCTCCGACCGACATTTACTTCACTGCTGCCAACGAATTGCAGACTGCCCCAAACAAGCCGTTGGAGTATGGCGAGCCCACGGCTATGCGGCTATGTTTGCAGAGGTTGACGACCAAACCATACCAAACCAACTCGGCTCTACCTTAAGAGCTCCTTTTTTGACACTCACAAGCTCATCACACTTCTCTCCTTGATGTGTCAGTGCATGCTCCCTTACACTGGTCACTGGAGTCTATCACAGAGTTACAGGAATTCTTCGAAAAGTGTTACGCAACAAGTGCAAGGCGGAGCTGATGCGCATGGAAAGAGAGGCAACCCCACAGAGCGACAGGTCAGGTGGCCTCAAATTTGGCCGTCTGCAGCTCCTCGTTGCTGTGCTCCGGGCTAGACAGCAATAGCCTGTGCATCTCTTGACGAATCATCGGCAGCATCTTGATTGCCACCACGACTTTGCAAAATGACATCGCGCGAGTCAGCACCTATTCTGGCAGCCTGGCCGGCCTACGAAAGATGCCGGGGGGGTCTTCCGAAATCGGCTGAACGTACATCTTGCTCAGATGCGAAAAGCCTGGCCTCCACTTCTGCATTTGCCTCAAAGCTTCCAGCTTTCTTTCAGTCTCTGCCGAAAAGCGTGTGACTTCTACCTCGGACACACTTGCAAACTCAGGCCGGCTAGCAAGGACCGCCGCCCCTTCCCTTCCCAAAAGTTCATGCTGGCTGGCAGCTACCGCGGCAGTCTCTTTGCCACCGCGTCCGTCCTTGATCCAGCACCGGACACTGTCACCAGCTTTGACCCCCAGGCCACCATGCTTGGTTATGCGATCCTTGAAGAAATGAAGGTCCTTGGCTTGCCGGGAAGTGCCAGGGAAAAAGCTCTGAGTCGGTAAGAAGTTCGGTTTGACCGGCCACGGAGACTATGCAAGACAGCATGTGGCAATGTGCAATAGCCAGACGGCTGGGCTTCGCGCATGCCGTGAACATGGGAGATGCTGCCAAAACACCGTCTTACGGTCTTCCACTCGAATGAAGCCGTAGTGATCTTGGTCAGACAACAAGCAAAGCAGCAAAAGGTGGAACTCTTAACGTTAAATTCAAGAAGACGGCACAATGCTGTACACATCGTGCTGTTGCCCCCGTATCATGAGCTTCAGATAGACCTGAAGTCTGAGATGTCGCGAGGGTCAGTTCTTTTGCAAGCGCATGTGCACGACACATGTATTGTAACTGCGAGCCTGTCGCCAATATGCCGGCTGATCGCCATGAGGGATTTCTTGTAATGTAGTGTGTATATTGCACAACATTAGACTGGATTACAAGAAGTTAAACTATGATGTTACATGGCATTGCAGTCTGTTCTATAGTAAAATACGATGTTGCCTTAGATTTTACATGCTACATTATATTGTATTGTTGTTGTATGTTATGGTTTGTCATGTTAAGTCATGTTGTACATGCTATACTACCTTATGTCGTACTGCGTTTTCTTGTATTCTATAGGCTAGTTTCATGTGCTCTGTTCTACCGTTTATTTAGCATTAGTTGTACTATGTATCTTGCTTAATATTAGGCTACGATGTGTCATAATTATAAGCGTGTCATGCTACATCATATTAAACAATACTGTATCCCCACTGTATCCCCCTCTGCTATATTATGTTATACCGTAGTTATACCATATTACACTGTATTGTGCTGCATAGTTTATATCAAAACATAGACTATTATGTTGTACATCCTGGTTCCTCTGTTGGAGTTTGTCAAGCCGCCCTCTCTCCCAGTCCTAGCTCGCTTGCGTCCTACTAGACCGAGGCCGCCGCTCGACTTCTATCCCCCATGTTAGTTAGGATCAATATGGGAAAGGATAGTCCCACAACTGTTCGTGTCTTAGATTCAAACGCCAAAGGGACAGGTCAATTGCTTTCAGTGCCACTGTCATCACAGCAGCCGCGATCATGATGTGTTCTTAGGGGCTATTGACAGTGATGCCAGTCGCCTGCGGCCTGGCCACCTTTCACCGCAGTGACTCTGCCCACGACCGGTTTCTCATTGCTCGCAGTGGCCATGCAAGACACACTCTACGACTCTTGATTGAACATTTGGTTCGCCACAGCTTGCTGCAACAATCATTTCTCGAAACACATAGCACTCAAGACGGCAAGATCGCCGGCGATGCTCGAACCCAAGCTCGGTCAGCAGGCGCAGGCTGTAGGATGTGTCATCCCGGCTTACCGTGCTACTGCTACTGTCGTAGTGCGAACGGGGGCCGCGACGTTCGGCTTTTCACGATTTCATGGCGCACTGCAGGGCCGAAACCGGCTCGGGGAGAGCAAATACAATTGGACCTGTCGAGCTCAGGCTTGCAAGAACTGGATACGACTCCCTTGCTTGCCACGGACAAAACTGAGACCTTAATTCTGTATCCAGCTTCGGTTGCGGTGCGTGCAAGAGAGAGATCAGCCGTGCGCGGCTTGTGGTCCCCTCCATCCAAACACGACAGACATCCTCTGTTTCTCATCCGGGACAGGCCGCAGCCGGTGAAGCCATCTCCATCTCGCCTCCCCTGATAGAACGAGCAGTGAGCCTGGATGAAGTAGGACCTGGCTGGGCGACCTGTGCGGGTCTGTCTCTGGAACCAGCTCCATGTCGCCTCTGGCTTGGAGGGTCAAAATCATCGTGACGTCCCCATTCGCCGGCAGGTCCTTGTGATATGGAAAACCAGGTCGAGTCGCCGGAGATGAAGCACGCTCCTGCTGAACGCCTTGGGGAGTGTAATGGTTCAGAGTCAGGCGCCACTTGCCTTCCACAGAAACCAGGGGGCTGAGAGCTGGCATCTTGGAGTAGATAAAATCTTTCGCAAACGGAGGTAAGGATTGCACCGTGCCCTTGGAAAAGTACATCAGCTCGTGCCCTTCATCTCCATACTTTGGGAAATAGGCACTGCCCGATGCCGAGCCTGGCTCAAGTTCCATCTTCAACGGGACATAGTATTCGTCGCTTGAGAGATTGTGTGCGAGCGATTTGACGCTGGCAGGTTGAGGAATGTGGGCCTTCTCTGCCTGAGCTGCATGGCAGATCTTCCGTGCAGACCTGAAGATATGCGCCACCTGTGTTGCTATCGCCTCCTGCTCTGACGGTGAGATGAAGGAGTCAAGCAGTCGCAGGCCATCAGGGGCCGCCAGCTTAAGGCTACACAGAGGCCGTGCGAGCCTGGAGATGTTCATGGCGAGGCACTGGAGCAATAACGGCCACCTCTCACGGAGAAGCCGCTGAAGAAGCCAACGAAACTAGCGCTTGCAAAGACCAGTATTACAATCTCAAGTTTCCTGAGGTGGTGCCACTGTTTCATTTCATCTCACGCGGTCTTTCGGCCTTGGTCTTAGGATATACATCTGTAGGTCACGGAGTTTCTGTTGCGCCTGAACGCCTGGGTCTCAGACTGTGCCAATGTGCAGAGCTACCTAAAGCTCGTGAATAGTGTTCCGGTTACTCATACGAGTCGGAGGGGCGTTCCCGGTGCACAGAGTCCTGTCACGGAGTAGCTTAGCCATCTCCTCGCGCAATGAGCTGCCTTCTTCTTGGCGTTGTTACGAACCAAATTGAAGATCTGAACAGTGTCTCATGTGAACACAACAAGCGGCACCTCGAGTCTTAGCTTTGCAGCTGCCCTGGCTTCAAGCAGCCAGTGTGGCTGAGGCAACGAGCTCAGGGCTCTGGACAAAACATCCAAGAGGTGTGCAGCACGGCACTCCCCTGGCCCCGTCACTCATCGCACTCGACCGCAATTCAAGTAGCACAGCCGTAACAATGGGCAAAATGATTACATAGTGGACGCGGCAGATGTCGCGTCCTGGGCTATCCTCACGTGTGATAGTCGATTTGCGCATGGGCCCTCTCGATTCCTTTTCATCATGACACCAGGAATTAGGAACCTCACAATTGCTACGATAACGACACTGCTGCGGTTGCGTTGACGGAGCTATCACACATGCGGCCCCTTGTGAGAATTGAAAGGAAAAGCTCAGTTCCGTAGCCACCTCACGCCGTGTCCTTGACAAGTTGTGTCTAATCGAGACCAAAGCCCGGATCCGGTGCAGCGGAGCAGACACCCACTGCATTGGACTACCACTGCATGCCGACCGCAGCGTTGCTGGCATGGAATTCTGATTTGCCGGGGACTCCTCAAAACATGGGCTGTAGCTGGTTCTTGAAGTCCAAGTAATTCACGCCGATAGCATTGGGAGAACAGTAGCGATGCCACCTGAGTGGCACGCCGGCTCTTGTGCAGCTTGACAGATGCGTGCACTGAGTCTCCTGCAGCAGGTCCCACTGCTCTGCAGGCGGTAGAGGCAAGCCCTGGACAGCAAAGCAGCGCCGGAGGTCTGATTGCGTAAAGCCTGACAAGGAGAGCCACCGGGGAGTGCAAGGCAGCAGGAACATGCAGACTGCATGCAGGATTTAAGCCCAAGAGCTGTCTGTCCCAGGACTGATGGCACCAAAGACGTCGTGCAGCCCACAAATCCTCGGGAAGAGGTGGCAACTAGTTAGCAGCATAGTTAACAGTTGTTCCGGTGGTGGACCCTTGGCTGCTCAGAGTTTCTTGCCGGGGATCTCTTGAGAGAGCACCGTGGCAAGTTCTCGACGATCCAAGTCCAGCTCTTCAGCTGCCTGCATGTGGCGACGGTGACTTAGCAGCTGACTCTGCCAAGGCTTCGTGTTTTGGGTCCCGGGAGTCTGGTCTGACGGAAATCCGGCGGGCTGTACCTCCAGAGTGGTGCCCAACAGGCGGTACAGACTGTGCCTCGGTGGGCGAGCTCTGGGCTTTCACGCATTCCGGACTGCACTATCCACAACTGTCTGGACGGCTTTAGCCGAACCTTGCAAATGCCAGCAGTTGTCCTCTCGCGGCCGAGGTTGTTTAATTAGGGGTCTGTCTGGCACTTGCGGCATGTAGAAGTTTATTCATGACGATCATCAGCTTCCGTTGCTGGTGGATAGTACTGAGTGTGCTCGCAGCCAAAGCACTTCGCGCTGGAAGTTAGCGGGTAACCTGAGTTTTGCTTGCAGACTTGCCAGTCACGGTGCATCCCTGCTCGACAAGACAGCTGCACCTCGGAAATAAATTCTTCCGAAGAGCTAACCTCCGGCCGATCTCCTTCCACGACGTGGCAGTGGAACTGGGTCCTGCACGACAGATGGACTTGAGGGCCAGGGGCATGGAGA